ATATCTGTATTCAATCATTCATGATATGATGTTTCCTCATTCATTTCATTACCTAAAGGATAGTTCGTTTCCTTTAAGTTTATCAAAGTCTATAGTTAATATAAAATGTCTTTGCATATTGCCACACAACTATCCTTGTAACCTCAATTTAACATTTTGGTTAAAACTAACGAAAACTTTTTTCCTTATTTGACAGCGAAGAGACTCATCTTCTTTGTGACAAAACTCTTTCATATTACCGGCAGTTGACTTTTGACTTCAAACTATCATGGCCCGACTGCATGTCATATTCGACCCCATCCACAGTACTTATCTTACCTATTCTTCGACTTTGTATCTGTCTGTTTCCTTTGAATCTGTAAATCATTATTCTGTCCCACTCTCATCTTTTTGTCACTTCGATGTTTCTCCTCCTCTCTATGAAGCCCGAGTTCAGCTAAAGGGCTAACGATAACTATCAAAACGCCTGCCATTTGAAATAAAAAAATAAATATTGCAAAAAAATGTATTAAGAGTCATTAAAGGCTAACTCCTTTGTCGCAAAAAAAGTTAGAATTGCAGATTTTATGCGTTTAATAACTTATTTTACTTCAGCAACTCATTGTACGTGCATGTGAAGTAGAAAGTCATTGGCTAGGAGAAAACTACAATTTTGAGGCCGATTCCCAACCGCCCATGTTCTGCGGAAATTAAATTAATTTGCAGATTTTTATGCAATAGGGTGTTAACGAAGTCACATGAAATTGTACAACCCGAATTTATTTTATATTAATAATTATAGTTGCATAAATTTAACTTTAAATTTGTAGATGATCTGATGATTTTAGAGTCAGGTGAAGAGGTTTTCCAACTACTTGAATTGCTCATTCTCATGAAACCTTCAAGCATCGCTTGAATAGCTCCCATTCCTCTCCCTGGTAGCACGATTTGCAACATCGTACAAAGCAATTATTAACTCATTTAATTCGTTATTTTAAGTAGCCTTTTACAGTGGTCTATGAAATAATTGTTGAATGAGTTGGTTGTTGATTTGCTAGACATGTTTACATACACATGGTCGGTCAATATGCTTTCGCGGACTTTAAGAAAATCGAAAAGTGGAAAAGCACTAGCGTTTGATTGAGAAAATAAAAGTAATCTCCGACCTCAGATAAAACTCCTTTAAGTGTGTTCGCATTCACTTCCAAATATGACTCGAGCATAAAAATTAAAGATTCTAAATATTTATCTATTGATTTATATCAAATAGCAGGCTTTATGATAGTTATCATTAGCCCTTTAGTTGACTTCAGGCTTCACAGAGAGGAGGAGGAAATTCAAAGTGACAAAAAGTCGAGAGGGCGGGGGGAAACAGAAGAGTGTCTCAAAGATGTAAAAGAGACAGACATAAAGGTAGAAAAAAGGTGAGGTGAGTACTGTGGTAGGGGTCGAATATGACATACAGTGGGGTGATGGTAGTTTGAAGTCAGAAGTCAACTGCCGGTTAATAGACTTTTTTTGCCGTATGAGTATACGTTGCCCAGGGTGCACCACGTGGAGGTAAGTCTATCGCACACCCCAGATTCTAGATATAGGTGTTGCCGAAAAAAGAGAAAGAGCAATCACTTCTTGAAAGGTGCGGATATCTCAGATAATTGAATCGCATAAGTTAAAAGTACATTTTTTTGGTAAATTGCTTTTAAGGCAGTAGGGATAATTGCGTTGATTTTCATAAATAGGGATTGTAATTATCATGAGAAATAGGATAGCATATTTCGTAACGCTCTTCTAAGTTACCCGATGCCGGAAATTGCGCGAGTTTGGGGAAAGATTAATTGTATCACTTCCCATTCAATTTGGCAAATCATTTAGCTAATTTTATACAATCGCTAAAGTGAACGCACATCTATATTTGAAAAGTATTTATTTATTTATATCAAATTGCAGGCTTTATGATATTTATCATTAGCCCTTTAGTTGACTTCAAGCTTCACAGAGGGGAAGGAACATCAAATTGAAAAAAAAGTCGAGAGGGGGGGCGACAGAAGGGTGTTTCAAAGATGTAAGAGACAAACACAAAGGTAGAACGAAGGTGAGGTGAGTACTGTGAATATAGTCGAATACGACATACAGTGGGGTGATGGTAGTTTGAAGTGAGAAGTCAACTGCCAGTTAATAGACTTTTTTGCCGTAGGAATATACGTTGCCCAGGGTGCTCCACGTGGAGGTAAGCCTATCGCACACCCCCTGTATGAATCATAATGGAATCAGTATGATCAAAAGGATAAAAACGATTATCAAAACCGCCTAGACAAGGTCTTAGGGAAGGCAAAACTAATCTATGTTCAAACCTGTCAGTATTGTCGTAGTGGGAATAGAAACATAATTCATAACTAGTAAATTAAAGGAACGAAAACGATCTTTCAAATACCATCCAAGTTATCCATTTTCTGGTTCATACACAGCCAACTGGGAGTAAAAATTCGGACAATTTGATTTTATTTCATGCGAAAAGGAACCAGATGAAGCCCCATGAAATGAGGACGTATTAAAGAATAGCTACAAATGAACCCAAAAAATCATATGAATTACTGAGACATAGAGCCTATAGATCGACATTGCAAATGGCTCCGGATATGATAGTTTGAATATACTATTTGTGAATCTGGATTAATCATATCGGCAAATGAATGGTGAAGATGTTAACCAGTTGCCTTCATAGACCATATCCTGGCTTATCGGAGAACGATAAGGGTCTTGTTAATGAATAATAACAAGAAACATCAAAATGGCAAAAAATGAGCAACACGGTTTAATTCTAAGGCCGATGGACCTGTTCATTAAAACTTGAGTACAGGTATGAAAAAAAATTGTCGAACCACTCCTTTTGTATGATTTACCTGAATTTATCGAACCTTAGCTAGGTGTTAATCACTTAAAGAATGTTCAGAATACTAATCAAAGAACGATTATTGATTGCACGGCATGAGGCATATAAAAATGAATATAAAGGTCATTAGGAAAACCTCTCGTTCAACCTCGATAACGACGATTGAATTTATACGTAGACTTCGACGCAGAATGATATTTTGATAAAGAGTTGATTATGTCCACCATTTGAAGGCGCTTAACAAGTGTTTTTAGAAGAAGGTGGAAGTTTGCTAGTTAGACATACAATGAATTATATCCTTCGTCTTATTGAATATTAGCAACAAATAAACTGTGCACAATTGATGAGGGATGAGTGTAGGTTCTCAGTACCATAGCCTCTGAGCACATGGACACGGATTGGAGGTTGAGAATGCACCGGTGAATCGATCACCACAGGGTCAAAGATGGAGTTACAACTAGTAGACCTCTTTGTCAAATTTGGGGAATCGCATGAATTATGCAAGAGGAATGGCCGTGCAATTACTTGGTGAAAAAAGGTTATAAGTTTGTGCCATCTTCAAGCTCCACTCATGCAGCTGCTCGGACTCATACTTCTAGTTTGGATATAAATTGATCCTCAACGGGGAATGAGTGCAATGGCGGTCAACCTCGTTTTGCTAGTTCATTAGAGTTCTAATTGTTTTCGCTGAGCAATAACGCTTTGTCTTTATTCCCAACTTACTTTTGAATACATTGTTCCTTTCTCAATTTCAGTCATTTCAAGATTGCTAAATTCAACTCCAAGTCCTTTCACTCGAGATAAGCTCTCGTAATGTGTTAGCTTCCGGAATAGCACAAATTCTATGAAGTGATATCTAACATATTTCCATGGAGCTCTTTTGCTAGCTTTATCAACAGGTTAATAATAAGTTGAGTCTTAAGTCAACTTGAGTAAATAGCTAGGCTAATGGTTCTGGAGTTTAAATGATGCCAATTTCTCTTAAATCCAGGACTTGCGTATGCTTGCTAACTTCAATTAAAAATGTAAAAAAAATCTTCCGCATACCAATCTTTATTTCCTACTCTCATTCCCCATGATGAACTTTAATAATGGGTTCTGTAAAGCTGTAAGAATTGACTGTCACAAACGTTCGCTCCTAACAGATCAAGTAGAAGGAGATATTACGTTACTACAAAGTAGAGTATGTGAAAATTAGACACAAAAGCAGGTAGGATGTCTTTAAAAGTCGGCTGTCATAGTAGGTTACTGGTAGAAATATTTGAAAAGCTAGATAGGAGTAGTCTGGCCTTTATAAGAATGAAAGCCCAGAGAAGAGCAAATATCTTAATATAGGTGGAGTTGTCAAGGTACTTCGAAGTAATTAAAGTTAATGAGGGCTACAACACAGCGTTTGAATAGCTTATTACAACATCGGTCGATAACGGTCGGCCGCATTCAATTTATAAAGAATAAATTTATAATTTTTTCCCATTAATCTCATTAAATTATTTGATCCAGACATACCAATATTCTAAACATTTACCCGTATAAAATCATTAAAGTCATCGAACCAGGGTTCTTAAATTTTGAGCAATTCACTGTATACAAGTGCAACAAGTAGATCATATTTTAGTAAATAATACAATAACAAAATTTCGTTTCCACAAGTCTGATATAGCGAGGAACAACAGTTAAAATTTTGATGCCTTTAAGAATAATAACCAGCACCTTAAATTTTGTTATAGTTTTTGTCATAGATCGAAACAAATTTAAGGTATAGAGTTTTCACATAAATGTACATCCAATTTGTGAATTCGTTCTTTCCAATAAGGGTTCGATTTTAAGTAAAAACCTCAAAATTTTTGGAAAGATAACTTACAATGAAGAGCATTAATCTAGAGAGATTGAGCCATTTTTTATAAATATATTTTAAATCAAATCGACGAACGATAAAAATGCTAAATTATATCATAAAGATCTTTACAGCCGATATACAAAATATATCTTGAATAGTTAACTATAGCTTTAAATTGAATTATTTCATTCAATTTTAAATAATTCTGGTGTTTTCAAGGCTAAACTTTAAATGCGCTGGAGACTACCGAATTATTTAATCTTCCTGACTGACCTTCCTTGGACTTTATAGGAGATGGAGAATTCGGAACCAAATACCCTTGCAGGGTTAAAAAGGGTTTTCAATAAACCCGACCTTGATGTTAACAAATGTAAATTTCTGCTCATTATTTATCTGAAGAAGACAGATTGTTGAAATTCAGTATTGAATTTTTTTTCTTCTTCAAATAGTTATATCAAAAGTATCTAAAAATGGTGGTGCTGAAATCATCCAAACTCTAACTGATCTAAACAGAATGACTGATGAGGCATCCGCTCAAATGAAAAGGGCAATTTTCAACAACTTTAAGCTATTCATTGATGCAAGCAAGGCCGTAACAGTTCTTTCCACAATCATGCACCAATTGGACAATCAACTTGTTGAACAAAAGCGTCTCTGCGCAGCTCTGGCGGAGAAATCGCTTTTTCGCGATGGTAGGCTTCCAACTTCATATGTGATGTATTCTTTAGGCAAATCCAATAATGAGAATGAAAAGTCCTCAAAATTGAGCGATGACATTTCGTCCTTACTGAGTTCAGTCGATGGGGTTTCAGTAAGATATAATCATGGTTTCATTAATCTTCTAGAATTTGGTTAAAGATTCCTCGAGACAGCTTCTCTTTGATGCCGATGCAATCGAAGTTAATCCTATCACTTATAGCAAACTGGGTTACTTCCACCTCTTTGTCCTCAGTGATTTCATTCTTGTTGCCAAAAAGCAACATGATTCCTACGAGATGCATCGATATAGAAAGCAAGCCCTCTATGAAATTGAAAATGTTGTGGTGGTTGATGTCAAGTCCACAGATTCACAGAAAGTAGCTCCTCTGAATCTGGTCCAACTCCTAGTTTTTCCCGATAGCCGAGTCTTCCAAATGGAATCAACGAAGGTCAAGAGGGCTCTCATTTCGACCATTGATGAAGTTAAAAGGCTCCATCTCACTGTAATCCCTGCCGATGAGTTGGAAGTTGAAGCAGACGCCAATCCGGTAGTAGAAAGTGGCGGAGCATTGAATTCCGACGGACTCGATTCCAATTCAAATCGTTCAGCGTCTCTTGTGAGTGTGGACGCCACACCTGAAGTGGAAACAATGTGTTTTGAAGCACTGGCTGGGACTATTCCAGAAATAGCTCACTTTATTCGGCGTGAGAAACCATCTACTGCCAGTATCACTACAACTCGAGTTAATCGTAAGTTAATAATCGTAGTTTCTGCGTGTTATTGGGTATGAGAATTGTTGTTTTCGCTTTTATTTCTTTCTGAGGTATCAATTTTATTCTGGGCAATTTTTACCGTGGTTAAAATGTGTGCTAAATACCAATTTAAATGATCTAATTATTCTTCGTGTTTAATTGGGCTAAAAAGGTCTCAACAAATACTAGCTGGCATGAAATCTATCTTTTGAGTTTTTCAACCTCCTTTACATACTAGCATCATAACACCAACTTTACATTATTTTCATTTCATTGGTTATGTTATTTTTCACTATTAACGACACGTGGAGATAGTGCGTATTTAACTGCTCACCATTACACTTGTTCATTTACTGCTTGCGTTCTATTTTGTAGTAGATCTTGGAAAGTACTCATTATTGCTTTATTGAAATTGTTGGGCATTATTTCATCTTACCATTGTACTTCGTCATATTTAACTAGCGTAGGCAACTTGCTTGCTATTTGCGCATAGAGGTAGAATAGGTACAAGCACTGCCCTTTATTGAAACTTTTGAGAGTTATTGATTATTTCACTCGTTTGGCTTTTGTTTCATCCCCCTTGTTTACCTTTTTCCCTATTTCTCAATATGGATTGAGGGTTAATAAGTTGGTGAGGATTGCAGTAGATTTTGGATTTTAGGGCCAAACCTGGCTTAATACCGTCCACTTCACTTTCATCAACTTGCTGGAGTGAGAGAGTGTGTGTAGATTAGTTTAATTGCCACTATATGTCAGTGCTGCTCTTGTCTCTAGGATTTGCAACTATTTTTTGGTGTCGGCTAGTGAAAAGTGTGCTATTGTTGGCCAAGGTGGTAGAGGTATTAATTAGGAGCTGGTGGTGGACGTCTTATCTCTATTCGTTCTTTTCTTATTTATTAGGTATCGTTAACTTCTACTTTCAGCGGTACTCTTATTTGCAAATATCAGCTCTTTTTTCATTGGTTTATGGTTGAATTCGTGTCCATTCAGGCATAAGTTAATTGACCGCATAGCTAATTAGCACTGTTGATCAGTTATTTTTTTCACTTATTAAGCTTGTTGTAATTCAATTTAATCAGAAGTTGCGCGTGAAAAATGAGTCTTAAATTCCATATTAGTGCAATTTTTGAGGACGCGTGTGTATCTATAACCCATCCAAGCTGGCAATTAAGGCAATAACTGTAATTAACAAGAGCTTAAACGGTTTAAGTAATAATGGTATAAAGAACACTTTCAAGAAGATTTGAGCTGTAACGATTTCATCTCTGTTAAACTAAAGTTGTAGCCTGTTGAATATCATATAAAAATCATTTTGCCGTCTCCCAACCGTTTTGAGAGGGCAAAATGATTCAAACGACAGGACCGATCCCTCTTGATTGAAAGTCGGTCACGAAGCAGTGAACACTATGGGAAACCGTTTCTTGTAATCTTGGGCATTCTTCGTATAATTTTATTTATTTACATCAAATGGCAGGCGTTTTGATAGTCATCATTACCCCTTTAGGTGACTTCGGACTTCACAGAGGAGGGGG